GGAAAACTCAGCTTTATATAGAACTAGTCTTGAGTCTCAATGTGGTTTTGAATAAATAGGGGAAGTCTGATGTCTCGCAATTTTCTATCAGTTTATGAATGTCCAAATTATATATTTGCCATTATAACTACAATTCATAAATCAAGTCATCAGTGAGAAATACTACTAGCTTAGGAGCTCTTTTTGGTCTGTACTTCAAGAGTTTGGCTTATAGTTTAAACCGACCAAAGTCAACACTCCACTCAGAAATGTCAACAAGTAGGAAAAGCATTACTGTCCCCATTAATTGCAATAATCATCAACTGTGGCCATAGAAGTGGGAAGCTCATATACAGAACACAGCTCCTTGTGCATTCCTAAGTGAGGAGGTTAATGGAATTCTAGGAAAAAATATTTAATCAAACAACATGAAGATTTATTTCTTTCGAAGCATCCAAGGCATTACCTGTGTTGTGCCACCTTCTGCCAAGTTAATAGATGTAAACTTCTTAAATGCACAAGGAAAAGCAAGTTTGAGAATGCAAATATTCTGCTTAAGAAGAATATAATTAAATTCCATAGCATATTATTCCTATATTGAAGGTTTTTGAGACAAGACTAGATAAAAGCCCGGAGCAACCTGGTCTGCCCTCAGAGCTGACCCTGCTGTGAGCAGGAGACTGGACTACAGCTCTCCTGCGGTCCCTTCCAGTCTGAACCACCCTCTGCCGCTGCCTGTGCGATGCTTCACGGCCCGGGTGACACGAAACCTGGAGGTAAAGCGAGCGAGAAATCCCAGCCCCGCTCGCAGGCAGCCCCTGCTAAGACCAAAGCCAAAGGACTTGGTATAGAAAACAGTTGCAAGTTGCAAAATACTGCGGGAGCAGAACTGAAAGGTGTCTACATGGCCGTGAACGAGTTGTTTCGAACATGCTGTTTGATGACTTGGGTTTTTTTAAGATGAAAAACTATTCCTGTACAACTGTTAAGTTTTTTATGAGTGCTTAGCGCAGCAGATCCATCATGAACTGTAAGTTCATAAAAACAGGCGCTTTTTAACAGGAGTATGTGCAGTTCTGTGTAGAAGGGCAATCAAAACTGTCACTTTGTCCTATAAAATGGAGCAGGACACTTGTCATCCTTGAGGTTAAGCTCACTCAGCTACTGCGGCTAATACTAGAGATTTATTTAAATTAATCTGCAGGAAAATTAAATCCATTAACTTAAAAAGCAAGGGAATAAATCATATCCAACAGGAAACCAGGAAAAGCTGCTGCCATCTCAGTTGAATCGAAGGTGGTGTGAGCTCATGAAATTTTTCCTCGTCAACGGCTTAAAAACAACTCATAGCGCGAAAAATAATATCAGCTGTTGTTATAAAGCAAAACGCAAATACGCTCAATGAGTTTAACACTGCAGCCAAAGTATGAAGAACATCTCAAGCTGTTTGTATTTCCAAACAAGACTTGAGGGGTCAGAGGAGGGAGAAGGACATGTGGGCAGGCGGGAGTGATGGATGGTGTTTAGTGGCATGCTGTGTTTGGGTCTACTCTTGTTATTTTTGCAACAGGATGTCTCTGATTACTCTCTGAATAGAGAATAAGGATGGTTACGTCTCGTTGCTCAAAGGGAACATTTTTTTCAGAGCCTTACAAATTAAATAGGACATTGTAAAGCAAGCAGTCAATGAACTATCAGGTGCTGTTTGTCACAAATCTAGCAATAGTGGCAGAGGCTTCCCTGGGGGCATCAGCGGCGGGTTTGGGGCTGGTAAATAAGGTATATGTAGCCTTGTCCTTATGCACAGCAGACCCCAGCTCTGCAGAATCCTTCTGTGTCACCGCCTGTACGGTTTGGTCCAGGACAAATGATATGAAATACATTTACATAGCAGGGGCACACTGAGCCTCTAAATAACTATTTCAGCCATAAAGTTGATGCAATCTGGAGATGACTTCACAAAGGATGGAGGACATTTGCTTTTCCAAATCCCATCCTTCCAGAGATCTTTGCAGAACTGGCTCCTGGCTCCCAGGGTGCTGCCTGGAGCGATGGTCGGGCCAAAGCTGCCTAACTTAAACACTTCTTGAGTAACACCAGTAAGATAATGACACTCTGGCCCCAGCCAGACCTCAGAGGCCACGACAACGTTCACACTGGCCACAGAGCATTTCTTTGAACGCTACTGAGGTTCCTCACCGATGCCAAAGGAAGCTGCAAGTTCTTGGCAACTTGTAGAAAAGGCTGAGATGTGGGGACTGGGGAACAACATGAACGTGTGCACAGGGAAATGAACACGCAGAAGTGTTGCCAAGATAGGGCGGTTTGTGTTGTGTTCTCCGAGTGAAGGCTTCGGGCAGAAAGAAAGAGGATAAATATCGGAAGCAAGGTCAGTTGGAACTGACAGCTGATTGATCTTAAACCTAAGTAAACTGGGGGGCTGAAGCTGCAAATGGGGGCCACAAAGCGAAACACACGGTAATAATTTCTCTGCAACAGTGTGACATTTCCTAATGAGCCTGCTCCATGAATTAGCTTATCTAAAATAGAGATGCCAGCTCATCCAGGGACTGGATGACTCAGTAACACCAAGGACCTCTCACTGGGGGTTACCAGTTTGATTCTGGCCCAAGCTCAAAGCATCTAAGAATTGTCTTCATGATGCCACAACCTCTGTAAAAAATGTTACTGGTCTCAGTGGGCAGAATTTCACATAAAAGCCACCACTGAAAGGCTTTCCAAGGAGGTGCAGTGAGCCGACGCGATGGAGAGTTAACAACCTTCTCACTCTTCTAAAAGGATCTCAAGCTCAGGACTGGATCATACCAAAACTGCTACCCATACAGACCAGTTCTGTAACAAGGACTATGCAAAATAAATTAAAAGGAAAGAAAGAAGAAATAGAAGGGAAATCACACAAACAGTGCAAATGAAGACAGATCACAAAATGATGCCTCGTTTGCACTGGATATCACAGATGTTGTAACACAGCAGAATTAAAAAAGCAGCAAACATTTCTTGATATGAAGCAGCTAAAGCGAAGAAAATGTCAAAACTCAAATGTCAGACAAATTTTGGGCAAGAACTCTGTACATACCCCAAGCTCTCTGGATTCCTTCCCAGAACCAAGACACCAGTCTCTTACATACAATTTATCCATCTCTGTCTCATCTGTTTTTGACTGGTTTTAACATAACCATTTAAGGGTTTTATATAGTCAGCCAGGAAGGAAAGAGTTCAAGGAACACCAGGGAATATGTGGCAAAATATAACAAGGTTAGATCACTTGCACTGGATTATTCTCCTCTGGCACACCGCAGAAGAAATAACCCCAGACAAGGTCTGCACGTTCAGCCGTCTACAGGGAACGAGACCAGCATTATTCAAGGTAAGTGACACTTTAAAGAACTTTAAATTAGCTGTTGACAGTCAGGTAGATAGATTGATGAGTGATTATACGAAGTCCCCAACATTACCATTTTGTGGTGGAAGCAAATATGGCGGGGGGGGGGGAAGAAAATCCACTAAATATGGTCTTGCCAATCTGTGCTGCATTCAGATGACAGTGACATTTAAGGACACTGGAAACTTATACAACAAATTGCTTTCTCTTGAATCAAAAGTTGACAGAAAGTTTCCTAGCTAAATTCTTGACTCCAGAAATGCTGCAAACCACACTAGTACTCTATGATTAAAAAATAAATTCAAAAATCCCCCCATCATCTTTCTTTGTAACAAGTGTTCCTTCTTCCAGCGCTAAAAGGACACATGCAAGTGGAGCAGAAGTGCAGCTCCCCAGAACCGCACAATTAAGGCTGACTTACTGTATGTACAACAGATGCCCTCACTGCAGTGGTCCCTAAAATATGTTTTTAAATAAAATTAACTCAAGATCTGTAATTAGCACATCTTCAAGAACAAATCGGAACAAGTTTATTGAAGCGCTCTAACTATTTACAATGGAAGTGAATTTAGCCCCAAGGTTCACTTTACTATTTTGTCTCAATTTTCTTGTAATTTCATCCATCACAATTTTTTCAGTCCTCCAAAGGTGATGAATAAAACACAGAAATAAATAGGACCAACTGTTCGCAGGAGCCTAAGGGAAAACATAATTTTGTTATAAATAATCCTTGGCACAAATCATGGAAATGCAATACTAAAAGTGTTTGTTGAATCATTTATGAATCGGGCCTTCAGTTTTAGTTTGCAAATAAGTTACGAGTTTTTTGTTGATGTTCTTTTTCACTTTGCCTTTTTAGCTGGAAAACAGCCTTTTGAGAAACTGAACTGATATATAATCCAGGAAACAGAGTGAATGAAGGATGATTTTTTTATTTTTTTTTTTTTTTAGGGAATTCCTATGCTAATACAGGGCTTTTTTTGGCGGGGGGGTGGGGGGATTTACTTATGGATGATGATAAACCAAATGATGACAAATTTTTACTTCATTTTCATAAGATGCCACCACTGTGATTTTTCATCCCAGCTTTATGCTAAACACGTAGAAAAGGCAAAGACAATGTGGTGCCTTACAAAACCACTAAAAAAAAAAATGAGTTGCAGATACCTCTGCGCGGAGATTCAAAAATTGCAAGTTTGTGATCTAACAGACAAATGTGACTACTAAAAACAATATACGCTTTTGCGTTTGTTTTTAGATGTGAAATGTTGAAGATTGGTTGTTACAAACTAGTGCAAAAGTTCAGTGGCACATAACCACGAGCTACCATACTGCACCGGTAGTCAGCACACATGCAGAAATACTTGACACAAGTGCAAATTCTGTAGTCTTGAGAAATTCAGTGTTTTAGATGACAGCTGATTAACCCAAACTCCTCATGAGAAAATTATAAACATAAAGAAATATCAAAGAACAGAGAGGTGCATTTGTTTCTTAAGTCTTTTGTCTGAAATTGCTATTTTTCCTCATCTGAAGTGAGAGAGAAAAGCTTGGAGACAGATAAAAGCAACGTGAAGACTCATTTCTCATTAGGCAGAGCAGGTGTGCATAGCCTTACCTGATCTGTCCTCGCACCAGTGGTCTGTTTTTTGTCCTGTTCATATTTGAGTCAAATGGAACCTCAAAGAACTGTAATAAAAAAAAAAAAAAAAAA